CCACAGCGTATCTTCTTTGCTGGAAAGTGAGGTAGGAAATAAGGCTCCTATTGATTTTTCTTTCAGCATCAATGGGCATCTTTCTGAGTTTGGGTTAGTATACAGAAAGAGAGGTTATTAAGAAGCGAGATGAAACCTTCTCTGCCACTATTTTCCTCTTAACAACAGTGCATATTCAGTTGAAAACTTGAAAAACGGTGTGCAAAAACATGTTCTGAACACTTTATTCAATTCTCCCTTTACTGTTGTTTATAAAATTTTGCACATTTCCAAAGAGCTCAAATCTACACCTCTCGCTGGACTGTCATTAAATATCCACTAATGCAGAATTCTTTCATATCATCTTAATCAGCGTTACTGCCCTTTCCCCCCTTTCCCTTGTGCTCAACTAAAAAAATTTACTTTGCTTCCAAAACTTCAATAAGTATTAATTACACCACAATTCTACCTCAGATTTTTATTTCTTTTTGTCCATCTGTTTTTCAGTTTTTCCCCATTTGCAGAGAAAGGAGAGGATAACAAAATGTGAGACTCATGAAGGAAGGATTTGCAAGTTTCCACAAGCCTTAAGGCACTACAACCCAGATCTCATCTAATCCAAGCATCTCATGAATGCACCAAAACATATTTCTGATCATACTGAAAACTGTGCTCATTTAAATGACATTCACAAACGGACTTAAAAGCAATGGCCTGGGGATACCTTCTAAATAGTTTTGCTCTTCATCAGAAACTGTTTCACACGGAAAGTTCATATTAAGCTTACAGGCCATATTCACCTAAAAAAAAAAGCTATTTTGCGCAAGTTTTGATTTTAAGAAGTTCATCTTTTTTTCCCCAGAGGTCTCTAATCTTCAAGATTACACTGAAGAAACCATAAGAGATGGATTTTCAATGGAATATGACCTATAAAATGACAAGCTTTATAAAAACACTGCTTTTTCTATATCCACTCACAACCTAATTTAAAATCTGAACCCATGTGCAAGATATAAAAAAATAGATGAAACAACACATGCTTTCATAGCCTTCTGTAAATCAGTGTTATTTTAAGGCACCGTTTTAAAGCCAATGTAGAGACTTCAGGTATTAGCATACACTCAGCTTCAGAGGACTTCTTGATTACTGACGTACCTAACCAGGTAGCAGACTGCTACATTTGGTTTATACAGAATGAAAACGCATTTGTCTCTAGTGGTCTTCTAATCTACCCACATAATAACTTGAACAGATTCAGCATGTCTCAAAAATTGATTTAAAGTAAAAAATATAAACTGCCAAACATACAAATCAGGGTACTATATCAGCTGCAGTAGAAAGAAAAGGAATTAAGAGGAGGAAATATGAATCAAAATACAAACATTTGAAACTTGCCGAAAGTGAAGCAACAGAAGAAAGTTAAATTGATTAAAAAGTTAAGCAAAGATCTTGAACAAATCTGAAGCAAAAGCAGAGAGGAAAAATTTAACCACAGCTTTTTCAAAAAGGTAGGCAGGAGAAAGTTGTAGGAGAATTCAGTAACCAAGGCGGAAAACCAAGAAACAAAGTTGTCACATGCGCTGCTAGAAAAGATGTCAAATGGACAAATATCTACAGCAGCCTGCTTGCAGGAAGGAATTTAAAACAAAGATGGGAATGCTGAAATAATTAGTGTTATTGCAGAAAGGAAAGGTCAGACAAGGTCGTGTTACGCCATGATGTATTCTGGCTGATAGTGAAGTCTGGAGGATTTTAAAAGAAGCAATGACAGTCACAAGCGATAGCTTTAAGACGTTGTATAAAAAGGGACTGTCAAATCCCACTGAGCAGTTGTATAAGATGGGATGAAAGTATGTGACTTTCAAAAGCCCCTCTTTCAACGACACAAGAAGGGGCACCAAGTCATTTGTACTTACGCAAAACTTGAAGTCATGAAAATAAGATAAGAAAGTCTCCTAGTCTCTTTGTCACTTTCATATCCTTTGTTGGTAACACACTTGAATCTCTTTCAGGTTTCATCCTCTCCCTCCAAATGAGACTAAGAAATAACTTGTACCACTAGCCCAGCTAGGTACATACACAACCAAACTTTTAATAGCAAATTCAGACAACGATCAGGCACCTCATCAGGCTTCTGCAGTACCGTCACGATACAAGGACTTGGCTGGTTCTTATTCCTTCACATCACTGAGATGCCAGTCAAAGATTCAGACTCAGCTAACTACCTGCCACTGAGTGATTATGTTCTCTTTTGGGAAGGGAAACCTTATGAGGTGGGAGAAGGTTCCAATACCATAGGGAAGTCACTGTGAAAGTGGCCACATGATTCCTTTTCACTCTGAGACAGCCCATATTTTTCCCTAGCATTCCTTCATTAATGAGGGACCAGTGACTTGCCCCACTGACAATGCAATAAATTCCCCCAAAATATGAGTGAGACAACAATGACTGCAATGGCTAAAATAATGTTCATCTATAACACTTCTCTACAATTTCTAAATCGTGCCATAGAACTTCTCCCTATAGTGCCAATTTAACTAATTACACATTTTCTGTTAAGAAAAAACTTGAGTAATATCTGCCCCACATAGTAACAATGTGGCCTCTTCACAGGTGTCTGGAAGAGTGGATCTTCTGATCACCAGACCAGCTTAACATGACCCAAGAGAAAGCAGGTAGTGCTTGTCGCTGCTTAGCTGAGACAAAAGAGCAGGACTTGACATATTTTCCCAACTATTACGGCTATTTCCTAAGCAGCAACAGCTGACTGTCAAGAATCCCAGACATAAAGGATGATAGTAATAAGGTAGAGTAACAGAAACACATTCAACCTGTGTGGCAGCCTTACCTTACATAGCCTGTATTAATAAATACATTAAATGAATTGGCAACTCTAACGACTGCCTTCTGAAGTGAGGGTGGAGGATCATCTTCAGACACAAGGTTAGTGAGATGACGGGGAGGCAAATGAGGCTCTTGCCAAAGTAAATCCTGAACTCCCACCTATCACCTTCCTGCCCCTTCTTTCCTTTAGTTTCATCTCCTTTGAATTTGGATGTTAGGATTCTAAACTGTTTGCAAGACCATTTCAAAAATTAAATGACAGTCAGGAAACCGAATACTTCATGCTGTACAGAGAATTTACCATATGCAGTATTTTTCACCTCAAATTGTTAAGCCACAAATAAATAATCTGAATGTGCACGCAATGACTGAATGCAGTAAGGCAGCCCTAAAAAGTAGACACACATTTCACAGTACCTCAATCAGAAGTAGGTTTCTTTTCATTTATTTCCTTGTTTTTGACATACTACCATTCATTTCTTTTATTTCATTTCATAAAGGATGTTAGCCAGGTGAAGTGTCAAAAACACTCATGCAGTAAGGTAGGTTACAAGAAACTTGACACTCTCCATAATTACAAAAAAACTCCATGATATCGATGATGCAGCCAGTCCTGTTCATTTTGCCTGCCTCACATTTGAAAAGAGGCATTCTCTTTTCATAGTATCTCCACAGTTGAAACACTTTTTTTTCAATGCAGGTAAATATCTGATTAATGTCATTTGTTTTCCTCGGCATTATATCAATGAAGCTGTGTTAACAGACCATCTGATGAAGTATTTGATCATTGAAGTCTGATGTCAAACATACAACAGCATCACTCAAAGTACATGAATTTGCTAGCAAATAGCAGATTGACTGGAAAGTCATAAATCCACCTCTTCTTCCTTGTTTATTAAGCTGCATCCTTGAAATTTGATAGCACTGCTTTCTGTAAAATTGACTATGATTTCACCTATAGCACAGAAAACATTATTTCTTTGCAGCTACTTTCAAATGCAACACTTTGCTAAAGAAGAGGTGAGATTTTTTGTAGATGTCAGATAACTGGGGGGTTGGACTAGATGACCCACAGAGGACCTTTCCAACCCCTAACATTCTGTGACTGTAACAGGACTATAGGAGTAGACTTTCAAATTAAATGTGTGAAGTATGCTTTGACTTTAGCAGGAATACTTCAGTGCCCAAACATAACTTCAAGCTTTCACAAATCCCCTCCAAATCATTTTGTTCAAACACAAACCTTTCACAGATACCAGAACATCTAGCAGTAATCACTAGCAATCAGCAGATAAAGTCAAACTGGATAAAGTCAGCATTTGCAGAGCAGGACAATGAAACAATGCTTTTTAATGGTTTGGAAATTAGAAGCTTTGAGTATAAAGCAGGCCTTCAGTAACAGGTAGCCCTGGGATCTCACATTTATTCATTATCTGGAGAAACTCAAATCTTTCTCACAATGACTAACAGAACCATCCCTGAACTCAAAGACATCTGGTTGTGTTCCATACGACTGATACATGATAAGGTCAGGAAACGCTGCTTTGGTCCATGACAAATAATACACCAACATTTTGCAAATTTATGATCTTCAATTTAAAGGTTTTTAAATGTCAGAAGGAAGCTAGACTGCAGATACTGAAGTTTTCAAACTATATCCAAAATTGTATAGCACTACTTGAATAATTCATGAAGTAGGTTCCGATAGCCCTGATAACACCAATGCAAAAAGTTAACCCTTTTGCCTACCTGAAATGTAATACTGAACGTCGAGCAAGTGGTAGTCTGAAGACATGTCAG